GGCTGTCGTAAACGAGTCGTCTTGAAGCGCGTGTCTCCGGGTGCACTAGCCTAGCTTTCTCGAGGTCGGAACGACCTCCGTCATGCAAACGGTACACTCCATCGCTTTCGGGACACGATCATTACATAACGCCTCATAACACTGCAAACTTGCATTGCATAAACGTGAAGTGGCCACAGAGAGCGGGGGCCGAGTCTACTCGGGAGAAACGTCAATGTCGGTGAAAGCGAGCGAGATGATGCGCGGCCAACTGGCCACTGGCCATGGACATTGATATGCGGAATACAGTATTAAATCACCTAATCTACGTTATTTTACACCTATACTTACATAAAAAAAAGTTTAAACGAAAACCAATTATGTGTTTGCGCTAGTTGATATCTATGTCAGTTAATGACTAGGTGCGTACATTTATAACTGCAATTATCCGAATATCACGGTTTAACAATGATGCAGGTGAACTTTCTCCAAAACGGGCGAGATTTGGAGCACTGAGCTCGATGTATAAAATAAGCTACGGTAGAAATATTATAAAAAAACTCTAAATTCTTTATATTGTTTATTTAAACACTAAGCATATATGAGTATAATAATGTTTATAAATTTGTCACAGATTTATGAAAATTTGTGCAGACAATAAACGTGTAATTCACGGTTGGTCAACAGAGCGACTCGCGGTTCCAATATCATTGCTCGGTAGCCGGATCAGGAAGGCAACACGTGCGTTTTACCTAAACGAGGAAAAATTGCAACCTACATTCGTTTTAATTATTGAAAAACAGTAGTTTTGTACGCAAGTGCATCGCTAAACAGAAGTTGAATTTAAAAAAGTTAAACAGGAAAATATTTTCTGGTCCATCGCTTTAAGTGAAATAAGGAAAATGTAATAAAACAAGCTAGAAACAGCCCGAGCTTTCGGACAAAAGTTGAATGTATTTATCTGTAAATCATCGATGATCTAAAACTAAACGAACCAGTATTTAAACTTAGTTATTTACTAAATATTAATCCTCTTTACTATTGCTAAGGAAGCCTCTCAGATTAGTAACAATTTTCTGTTATTTATTTATCCTTAAATGGAATATTACTAAGGGTCATTCAGTAACGGATGGGGACTTTCTCAACGGAGCTCTGGCGTCACATAAGTGCGTCCATCCGTCTCTACGTAACATGGCTAACGGCCGCGTTGAACACGCGCACGTGGGGAAAACAAGAAAGCTGTGGAAAGGGACAGTGGGAAATGTACAAAAGGAAGTAATAGCGCTTGACTGAACTCGTGGAAACTACGCATTTATGTAACATTTATTGTACAGCAATATTGTTTATAAAATTAACCCTTAGTTTTCAACAGTGCTTGGTATAGCTTTATGAATGACTAACTTTCGCCCGCGACTCCATCTGTGTAGGATCTTAAAAAAACAAAAGTAATTAGCCAGAATTTAGTTTAGTTATTCCTGACAATGCTCTATATTTGTGCCAAAATTCATCGCGATCCGTTCAATCGTGTTGGCGACAACCTCTAACAAACATCCATCCATCTGAAGCCATTTATAATATTAATAAAAATAAAAAGTTATATAATAAGATACATTTTGAATATGATCTAGATTGTGTCATAACAAAGATAACCTAGTTTGTTGATTTGTAGAAAACATGATTTCTTGACTAATCCTTCACTAGGGGGCTCAACGTCTGCTGCATTTGAAATCTATATTGACATTCATCAGACAAGAGCGGAAGTCATTGATACGATAATGTCGTCCGTCCGTTTATCCACCGCGAGTTTCTACTTTGAAATTGTTGTAGAAACTTGTCGCTAGCGTATAATTACGTAGCGCGTAGTGTGACGCGAGAACGAAAGTACTTAGAACTTAGTAGTTACATGTTAAACTGTGGCTTCTAACTTATAGATAAGGAAGAATTCTAAGCAAAAAATGCTTTTATAATTAAGAAGTAATTAGATCCAATATATAATTTTCAAGTTCGCTATCGCCAACGTCCATACCACGTTGAATACACCGGTTCTCGTCCGATCACCGAAGTTAAGCAACGTCGGGCGCGGTCAGTACTTGGATGGGTGACCGCCTGGGAACACCGCGTGATGTTGGCTTTTTGTTTTTTTTTTACAAAATTTAAAAATATTTATTTCTTGTAAACAAAGATCGTAATTTTCTTTTTGTATTCTGTATATTTATTCAAAGATTTTAAATTATTCCGCATATAAAAAAATCTCAATTTCACCTTTAAAGCGGGCGCACACATTAGACTAATCTATCGAACAATTATTGTGCGAATGTCGATTGTTTCGCAGCCAATTCAAATATTTAGTTGCACAACTAAAAATCGAATCTCCATAAAATCTCATAGGAATCAGAGGGAAACAGTCGTGCGATAATTTAGTTAAAATCGCTCGGTCTTACTGTGATGATTTCCTGTTTGACAAATTATTTAGTTTTCCCGCGCGAGTCAGACAGTTTGCCGCCAAAAATCCTGTGACAGCTGGATAGGTTATGCAATGGCGGCCGCACCGCACGCGACGTCCGGTGAAAGTCGTCCAGCCACATTCTGCAGCCGCGCCGGCTCGACCCGCGAATTATTAAATAAAATATTATATAAACAGTCAGATAATGGCGATTTTCGCTTATATCACGATAACAGGTGAAAGATGGTTAAGAAAATAAAAATTAGTTATGAGACTGCTTACTGAAAACTTGCACTTCAGGCAAAGGTTGTTACTCATTTATACGCTCTTTTACTATAAACTTAAGACTTGCAACTAAGACAATAGGTAAAGATTGTCCTGATCCTTAACGAACTAATGTCTGAAATTTGAATATAAATTGTTCTGCTTCCAGGATCT